ACACACACACACACACACACACACACACACACACACACACACACACACACACACACACATATATATATATATATATATATATATATATATATATGTATATATATATATATATACATATATATATATATATATATATATATATATATATATATATATATATATATATTATATATATATATATATATATGTATGTATGTATGTATACATACATATAGATACACACTCTATGATCTAACGATTGTGTTTAATTTTGACAATGAAGCTTCGGTTATTAGTATAGAAGTAGTTCAACCCAAGAACTTCATTGATACGATAGGTATTCACCATCTCTACACACTCCATAACTGCCACGCATACATATTTCTATATTCATAATAAATCTTCCTTGCCAGGGAGAGCTGATCCATCTTTTCAAGCTTTTACCGAGTTACCAAAGGTAACTTTTCCCATTTTCTGGAAAGAAATTTAACATAATCAAGACCTTCTCTCAAGAAAACAAAATGTGTATCACTGGATTATTTTCGCCTAGACCTCCTCAAGGTCGACTCTGACAGCAAAGTTGGGGAAATCGTTCCTATTTTTCAACCCAGACTCTTTTTTCTGCAATCATTAGTCCTACTGGAGCACAAGGAAACTCTGCTTCCCTAAATAATCACGTGTGGACATTAAATTAAATTTAATTATCAAATTAAAAGCGAGTGCTTATGTATTGTAACATATCAGACCATTTTTCAGTGTCAGTACTTTTAACTTGATATTTCAATTAAACCTAAAACCGAAAAAAATATATTATCGCGACTACAACGATTCCCACACTTTTAACAGTCACGTAACTGAAATATGTTGGGACTAGTTTGCTTCCCATACTCCCTCATGTTTCCCATGAAGATTTTATGTCTTTTTATCCGCTCTTTTGAAAGATTTTTCCCATCAAATGTGTCACTAACATCTAAATCCTTCAACAAAGCATATATCACAACCGAAATAAGGGACAATAAAAAGTATGCTAAATGGACACTCTCGGTGAGAGATTTCGGTCCCTGCGCAACCGCCCGGAGCAAACGATTCCGAAGGCAAAGGCAGATTATTACAAAGGGAAACGAACAAAATACAAGTGATACAAATAAGTCGGGGCAAATTCTAAATAATGTTTTGCACAAGAAAAATATTTTCTAACAAAGTGTAAATAAATGAAAACGAAATTTACCCTAATATTATTACTGAAGATTAAAAAAGAAAAAAAATCAAGCATTAGTGAAAATCTATAATGGTTAATCCCTAAAGGATACATGGAGACATTAAAGAATTGCTCGGGCCCACTAACAACAACCACAAGAGCCTCACACCCGTAACAGATATTATCATTCTGTCATTGGACTAAAAACTTCCTCTCCTCGTGATGACTGCATTTCTATCAACATAATCAAGAAAGTATTTCCTGGCATTCTTAAACCCCTGAAACATCACATTACTATTTCATTCAGTATGTAGTATTCGCCACGAAACAAAAATTGCTTAATTTCCCGGCTGGCCCTAAATATTTCCTAGCCGCTATTTGCAATATATTTGTAAAAAAAGAAAAAAATCACAATAACTGATTTTCCTTATGTAAATAATTTAACAGTTGTCAATATGGTTTCTTGAAGAACAAATCATCCTGATTAGCGGTCGCAGACTTGAGAAATGAAGCTAAAATATTTTAACCGTAAATTCATTCTTGCTACATTTATATACCTTCCTAAACCATTCGATACGGTTGAGTATTGAAAAGTCACATTATATTTTTACCACAGAAACAAACATGCCTCCAGCTCTACCTCATGTCACCATTGTAAATCATCAAATTAAAAGGGTTATGCATACTAAGTTCTTTGGAATTCACATTGATGTTTAGCTAAAGTGGAAAACACACAAACACTGTAGTATGTAAACTAAATAAGCAATGTAGACTTTAATTACACAACCATTACTTTCGAAAACCATGAAACAAACTATACATTGGTATATCAACAATTTATATATTGATAATCTGACTTAAACCCTTGCATTGTAACTCTAAGATCGTTTGTGATCATGTCTTGGAATACATGATCACAAACATGAAGGTTTCCTTAATATATATTTTTTCGTCAAATGAACCCTTACTGTTGAGCACTGTTTGTTTTTAGAAGCCTAAACTCACAAATCAATTACCTTATTTTAAACTTGAAACGCATATTTTGATGGTAAAATATTTCAAGAATTCTTGAAAAACCTTGAATCATGCTCATATCTGCTTTTGACAGAACTTCTCGGTCAGATGGTTTCGTAATCAAACCAAGCATTTTCAAATTACCTCCAGAGGAAGCTTGCTACAAGGGTAAACAAATCGCCAACATGGCGATGAAATTCACTTGCTAATTTACTTATTTTGTCGAAAGTAAATGATATTATTAACTAGCAAGTTGTTATCATAACTGAGCTGACCAGGGGCTGGATTCACTAACGCACTTACTATGATAAAAGTAAGAGTAACTATGGTTCCCATGGTAAACAGACAGCGGTAGTATTCACTGACAACTTGCCATCGTAGTTACCATCAGCGGTCGGAGCACGGGTAACTTCTGGAATGATGTCATCACGTGTTGCCTCATCCAAATATCAGTATTTAAGCAATTTTTTTTTGTTTTCATACCTGATGGCAAACAAATGTCACAATATGGACATGGTGAAGAAATGCAAATTTCACATGAAACTAGCAAGAATAAAATCCATACAAATTTTCGTCATATTATAGGTTGACTTAGGCTTAAATTAGACAGTAAAGTGCATTGAAGGGGTATGTAAGTGAATTCAAAGAATTCTCCTTTGTCGTACTTATTACGAATTCAATAGAAAAAACTACCTTGCTAATAAATAAACAAACAATGCCAACGTTAAATGAGTACAGCAGCTGTGTCTGTCGGCATTTTGGTAAAGGATAACACCACCAAAGCGCATGGGCAAGAATGACCTTGAAATATTTCCTTTATTTGACGTCAAGATAGACAGCAAAGGATTTAAATTGTGTTTGGGCCGGTTCTCTGTTTAACAGTGATGAGGAACAGAAACATAAATGAAAACTGTTTACTGTTTCTTTGGGTTGAGGTAAAAATGATATATTAATATTAGTGTTTGTATTGGTTCATATTTATACGATAAATAGTCAGGGAGTCTCTGAACGTCCCACATGATGGATACAATTAAATAAATCTTTATTATTTTGTTCTTCATATGCTTAGATGATTTTGAAAATCTCGCTCTGTCTACTTTTGTATACATGTTACGTGATTGGCCGAAGGTAACTAAAGGGTTATGTATCGCGCTTGCGGGTTGGTTGAATTGCTGTCCTAGAGCCCTCTGATGCCTACTATTTGAGTGAGGCGATTAAATAGGAACCAATATAAACACTAGTATATCATATCATTGTTTATCGTAAACGAAAGAGACAGTCCAGACAGTATTTTCTTAATGTATTTCCCATCATTGTTAAACAAAGAAACGGGACAAACAATTTTTATTCATCGCCAAACTATTTTTTCAAGCTCATTCTTGCGATTTGAAGTTTGTTGTCCTTTTCCAAAATGCCGACACAGTTGATATACTTGCATTGCCAGTGTATATATCGACAAGGTAGTTTTTTTTCTATAGAATTTCTCATGATTAGAAAAGAATTATTCTTTAAGAGTTCACTTATCTATCCATTCCATGTACTCGCATGTCTACCTATAATTTGACGAGAATTAGTGTGGATTTTATTCTTGCTAGTTTCATGTGAAATTTGCTTTTCCGTCATATATTACGATATTTGATTGCCATCACACTTTTTTTTCATATATAAAAACGAAGTAAAAAAAACACTTTAATATTGAACGAAATAACGTGATGACATCGTCTTCCAGAAATTACCAGTGCTCCGACCACTGGTAAAATTTACCATGCTAACTGTGATGGCAAGTTGTTAGTGAACACCACCGCTGTCTGTTTACCATGGTAACTGTAGTCACTAATGATTTTACCATCGTAAATCCGTTAGTGAATCCGGCCACCGGGATGTTCAAAGTGCGTTATTATTTACCTGTGTTATGAATTGTAGATATCCTCTTAGACTCTGACTGAACTGTGTGGAAGATTTTCTTTCCCTTTTTCGTTAATGATATGTGCTACATAATATGCCAATCCGTTTTAAAAATTCTTATTTCGTTATCTTGTTCAATTAATGCAAAATCAAGGTAAAGAAACCTTTATTCGGTAATTTCATAATCAGTACTTATAGCGTGCAGTATGTTTTCTTCCGCGTACAAATCTTGTATAGTGTATCATGGCCCTACTCTCTGGATTACTCTTCTTGAAAATATATGTAACTGTGTTACTCTGCCCTCTTTCAAAGGACCTCCGCCAAGGTCATGTATTTGGTGGCGTTGGTTAGCAGGATAACTCAAAAGTAATGAACAGATTTTTATATATTTATTTATTCTTTTTGTTTTTTATTTTATATATTTATTTGTTTATTTATCTATTTTTAACCAGTGATGTGCCTTAGCCCAACATAAATGCTATTAAAAAGGATTCATTAGCATTGCGATATAGGAAAACATAGACGTCACCAGTGTACTTGGGAAAGAGGTGATTTTAATGTAATTAATTGTGAATATTTTTATTACATAAGTGACTCTGATTATAATAAGATAGGGATTTTTTGCCAGCAGGTAACAAAAAATTGACATTTTATGTATTAATTGTGACCTATTACATAATATTTTTATTACATAAGTGACTCTGATTATAATACGACTTCCTTTCCCTTTCGCTCAGATGTATTTCAACATGATTTAATACTGCGTAATATATATATTAATGTTAATGATGAATAATCTGAGGGACCTACTTAAGAGAATTTCAGTCCTGGAGGGCTCAGCCTCACTAAGGTCTATATAAGTGCTTATATAGACCTTGAGCCTCACTCTGGGTGTTGCGGGACAATGACTATAACGTCAGTGTATGTCAGGCATCATCAGCAGTTACGAAGTCTTATTACCATGCGTGAAGAGTACACAGATGGGTTGGAGAAAGGAAAGACAAACACGTCGACAACTATTCTGACCCCTGTCAGAATAGTTTCATAAGACCGGTTGGTTGTCACAGCGTCTAGGAGTGGGCAGGAAACATTCAAGGATGTGATGCTCAGGATTAGCTCTTCTTCCCTTAAGAAGAGACATTTATTCTATTTCATAGATGTGCCTTAGCCCAACTTAGATGCCATTAAACTTTGGTGGTGATCCAGATCATGATCTGGATCCTGCGCAGGATAACTCAAAAGTTGTGAACAGACTTTTTCTGTGTGTTGGCCCAACTTATAAATTTTATTGGTGATCTGAATTATAATCCGAATCCAGGATTTTTTTAAAAGGATTCATTAGCATTGCGAGATAGGGAAGTCTCTTCACGAGTATCTTGAGGAAGAGGAGATTTTGATATACTTAAAGTCTGAATATTTTCATTGCATCACTGACCCTATTGATTTGGCTGTATTATTAATAGTGTTGGTTAGTTTGTTAGTTGGTTAAGGAAGTAAATACAATAGCCAGTTTTTTGTTTTTTTTCATCTTACTTCCTAGTAATTAATTATGGAAGATTTATATATATATATACATACACACACACATACACATACAACACACACACACACACACACACACACACACACACACACACACACACACACACACACACACACACACTCACACACACACAGTATTTTCACATGGGTGGACACACAGAAAAGACATATATGTATAGTACATATATATATATATATATATATATATTTATATAATATATATATATATTTAATAGAGACATATATATATATACTATATATATATATATATATGTGTGTGTGTGTGTGTGTGTGTGTGTGTGTGTGTGTGTGTGTGTGTGTGTGTGTGTGTGCGTGCGTGT